CGTCCTCTGATGACATGCCCACGTCGTCGCCGTCGCTGTCCGGCACAGCGACGTGCGACGGCGACGGGGGCGCGCGCAAATCCTCCACGGTCGCGTCGGCCGGGTGCTCGTCATCGTTCTCGTCGTCGGCGTGCAGGTCAGGCACCTCGTAGGCGCTGAGGACCTTGGTAACCTTGACCGGTTCGGGAAAGTCTTGCGGCGTCGTCTCGAGCGCGGTGCGGCCCGTCTCGAGGAGGCCCTCGAGGATGACCTTGATGCGACGGTAGGTCGCGTCGTGCGCCTCGCGCGCCTTCTCCGCCTCCGCCGCCGCCGCTTCGTCCTCCTCTTCGTCAGAGTCGTCGTCGTCCTCCTCGGCGGCGGCGGCGGCGTCGGGCTCGAGAGACTTGGCGGCGCGGAACGCGCGCGGCGGGAGGATGAGCCGCGACTCGCGCAGCTTGCGGCGCAGCTCGCGGATCTCCTTCGCCTGTCGGTGCTTCGTCTGTTCGAGCGACGTGTTGATCGCCAGCAGGGAGCGGTTGGTGATCTCGAGGTCCGCGATCTACGCCCAGGTCAGCGCGGCGCATATAACGCGTAAATGCGCAACATACCTTGCGCACGGACTTTGCCTCAGCGCGGACCTTGCGCTCAAACGTGCTCGCGCGGAACTGCTCGTCGCGTACCGCGTCCTGGCTGTCGTCATCACCCGAGTCGTAGTCGTCCTCGCCGTTCTCGGCCGTGGGGAACATGTCGCTGAGCTGCATCAGGTTCTCGAGGCCGGACCGCATGCCCGCGTCGCGGTGCGCGCTATTGCTGCTCGGGAGCGGCGCGCTAAGCTGGCTCGTGCCGGACTCGGTCGCGTACGACACGGAGGAGTGCGAGCGGGAGGAGCGGGATGAGAAGGACACGGTAGAGGCGGGCGGGGAGTGCGGCGGAAGCGGGATTGCGGTGGGATCGACTTTGGCGAAGCCGTTGACGCGGGGGTATTTGGGGCCGTTGGTGTCGTCTCGCGGGAAGGGCTGGTAGAAGTTGCCCACGTTGGAGGAGGGAGGACTCGGGCGCGCGGAAGGAAATCGATGGGGATTGGCGGCAGGGGTGGCGGCGTTTGCTGAGTAGAAGGGGCTGGATGAGGAAGAAGCATTAGAGGATATTGAGGGAACGCGGGGGCGGTGCTGGACGCGTAAAGAGCTTGGAGGCAGCGGGGGTGATGATGGCGGTAATGACAAGTCACTGCTGTTCCGCCTCGAAAGTTTGGCGGTAATTCGCGGGGAAGGCATGGGGCTTTCCTGCTCATCGGAGAGATCCAGTATCTCTGACACGAGAACCGGTGACGACGACGCGGGACTTGGAGACGCGTAGCCGGATGGGCCTGTCAACGAACCTCTGCGAGACGACTCCTGAGGTGCGACCTTGGCAGTCAGACCGCGTGTTATGGCCGCACGGGGCCTTGGTAATGGCGAGGGCTGCTTGGAGGGCGAACCCGAGCGGGGTGTGAGACTGGCTCCGGTTCGGGACGAGCTGGTGGTCGCAGAACTTCTTACGGATGCGGTTCTGCTGACTACGGACGACGAGACGACGCTGGTGGCCTTGCGTGCAGTTGGATTCGGGGTTGCGCTGCTGTTGACCTTGGCCTTTGGCCGAAAGGTGGGAGACGGTGCAGGCGGATAGTTCTTGTACGGTGACGGGGAACGGGAGACATGGGTTCTCTGCGGCGAGGCCTCGGTGACTTTGACGACGGTTATCTGCAAGCTAAGACATTAGAAGGGAAACGAGAGAGCAAGGAATGCTTGCTTTGCGTTTGAACGGGGCAGCTTCCATGAAATGGGAAGAGCTAAAGTACAAAACCCCAAGTGATCCAATCATTTGAATCATTGCTCTTTTCGTCTACCAATACTCGACTTTCAGCACACTGCCATCCAAGAGAACTGGGGCGTCCCCAACTGAGAGAAACGTCATTCGGGTTCCATTGAACGTGCCTTCCACGCCTCGAACGCGTTCTAGTCGGCAAACTTGGATCGCTGCGGTCGCTTGCCTTGAAACGATGTGCACGTCTAACTACTCTGCGTTCTAAATCGCACATGGATGTAGTCAAAGTCCGCGTCTGCCACAACTACTGCTCGTCAAGTCGCAGAGGTCCAGATTGTTTCTCAGCCGAGTATGTCCTAATGAGCGTCTTTTGGCTATCGTTACACCGGTTCCCGCCGTCCGCGCCGACCTTCCGGTGGCTATTCCATCCTGATGGCTTCCCGCAACTCCAAGGAGCATTCTAGGATATGCTAGCATCCTCGAACGTCTGCGTCGCGCGCGTTCTTGGTCCCTGGGGCGGCGTCGTATGCACATGTATAGAATATTTACCCTGACACTCATTCCGTCTCAGTCGACGTGCACGTCATTTGCGCTGGAAGCAGCCAGTAACGCTGCGTTGGTCTGGCATCTAGGATTAGGAATGCGGAATAATTATCGTTCGTTGGTGAACCTCCTGCAACTAAATTACTTTGGCTATGGACCTCTGCCGCCTCAACTCACACAGCCAGTTTGCCACGCTCTCGACTCGCACATTCATCGTCGTCTTTCAGCTGATACGCGTGCCTGCCACCCCTGGTCTCGAGCTGTAGCACCGATAATGTACTCTTCGCAAGCCAAACCTAGAAACCTCAGTCCTCTAGATCTGCGACGCGTGTACATACATGAGAGAAACCTTTTCCGCAATCCGGTCAAAGCGAGAAAATTGGTGTTGCTTGCCGCTTCCTGTGTTCCGTTCGTCCGTTCGCTATTCTGACGCGTACTTCGCACTCCATTTTGCCGCAGAAGTACTCAGGAGCCACTCAGGAGGCAATGCAGTGCGCAATGTTTGTTCACTGTAAATGCCGAAATGCATAAATGTCTCGGCATCTTCCGACCAAAGCTCCTCATCTTAAACTTGAACCATCACCACGATGATCTCTTACCTTTTCCAAGCCTCTGCCTCTGGCCCTGCTTCCGTGTCCGTGACTCTGGCGTCGTTCATCTCGTTCATCTTCACCTCCATCTCCGCCACCAAGGGCGGCAAGAAGGTCGACATCGGGAGGCTGACACCCACTCGCACCTACCACATTCCGACCGAAACCAGCCTGGCGCAGGAAAGCGCCAGCTTATCGAACATCAGCTTCTTACTGGTGTCATGCGCTATTGTCATCTTCGCCTCGGCAACATGGACGCGGTCCCCTCGCGTCGGTGCGAGATTGAAACGCTCAGCACCGCCTCCTCCACCTCCTCCGCCTCCGCCTCCACCCGCTCAAAACGAAGACGATGATGACGCGCACATCGACTGCGGGCAAGACAACGACGAGAACGACGGTGGCGGCGACGACGACCCGCAAGAAGACGGCGCTGTAGACGCCAAGAATTCAGACGACGATAATATAATCACAGCAGCGGCCCCGGCCCCAGAAGACCCACCGCCTCCTCCCAGCCACGTTGACGAAGAAGACCGCCGTGGCGACGGACCCACGGCACTTCAAGGCGACCTGTGGTGGCTTTTCCTGTTGTGTGCCGGCTCTCTAGTCCAGCGACTTCACCGCAAAAACCGCGCTTCCGCCAGTACTTCCGAGACTCAACCTGTCGTGCATACTATTCGCCAGTCAGCATCGCAGAAAATTCCCGGGCTTTTGGAACGCTTGGACGATTTCGTTTGCATTGCACCCTTATCCTCCCTATTCACCGCCACGCTGCGAGTCGATAATGTCCATTCTCTCGCCTCGGTTCCCTGCCGAGCTGCGTTCCGGATCTATAGCAGGTTGACCGTCGCCATCGCTGCTCTCCAGATGCTTGGGCTTGTGGCGTCCTTGTTGTTGCTGCTGCTGCCGAACTTTGGATCTCGTAAGAACGATGTCACACAGGAGAAGGAGATCCTACAACCAGTCATCGAGTACGAGCCTCCGCTGTCGCCGCCAACGACACATCCCCCACCATTACCGCCACCCACTCCCCACCACCCTCCGGCGCCAACTGCAACTCGTTCCAAGGCGGTCTCGATGCTGAAGTATAGAACGGCGCGCCGCAACGCGAGAAAAGCTGCGACTGTCGAGGAGAATGCGAAATATGAAGACCATCGACGCCGAGTTCGGGCCGTGCAACGCGTAATCTGGAAACGGTTGTGCGAATTGCAGCTGGGAACAGGCGAAGAAGGCGCGTAAGAAGGCGCGTCAAGATATAGATGAAGAAAGAGGGGGGACCACCGAGAAAAGAAGACGACGAAAGGCAGGGAGTAGAGAGGGTATATCCCCACCTCTCTTTCATCTCCTGGTGTTATATCCGCGCGGACACTATGTGCGCCGTCGCAAAGTTTTTTCTCTCAGTCTCTCTCTCTGCTTGCATAATTACTTATACTCTTTTCCTTTCTCCATGTCTCTTTCCTCTCTTCTCTCTCTCTCATACAAGTCATTCTTCCGTACCGCTGGTAGACGTACCTAGCATAACACCCCGGTTGTAATGCACTTGGCTGTTGGATTTCTGTGCGGGAAAGCTCCGACTTGAGGTCTCGACAGTGTCGTTCGAAAGGTGTTCGCTGTAAGTTGCAGGATTGAATTCGGAAAGGTGGTATGTCCAAACATCTAAGTACTACCCTACGCCTGAACATGTCATTTCTCGACGCTGCGTTACGTTTCTTACTTTAAATATTCCTCACGCGTCTCCAACGCGTTTTTGAGGCGCTTTGCCCCAACAACCTCTTTGATGGGAGCAGGTGTTCAGCGACTCGTATCTCCCTCAGTTTTTATCCGATTCTCTCAAAATAAATTGTAGGCTACTGCAGTCTACTATATCTTGCTGCCCGCGTAGATGGGTCTATAAAATATATCTAATTTAATTCTAGTTTAATTGTTATTCAAGTCACATTTGATATCCGGGTATCCGACAAAGATTCACCCCGTTCTCCACAACCACGAGGTCAAATCACGCAAAAATTGATCCTGGCTGGAGGCTGGGGTACGGCTGTTCCTCACGGAAAGATTTGAAATAATTGGGTTCAAAATGGAGCAAAAAATTGACCCCTGCCCGGATCGAACGGACGACCTTCTGGAAACCGTTTAGCTCAGTGCGAAGCACCGTGGGAAAACTACGCTGGAATCAGATGCTCTACCACTGAGCCAAGGGGTCGATGCATGAGAGGGAAGGAAGCAGTCCTGGAGGAGATTCAGCCAAGTTGAACGAAGATTTTTCGATCACGGGAAAATAATTTGCAAAAATAATACCATGCACGTGACATGTCACCTAAGTGAGGCCTTATATGGATAGGTCCTTGTTTTTCACATGGTTCCAGATGTTTACTTTGTGAGAAACGGATCAGAACTGAACAAATGGCGGTGTTTTTTCAAAATGTTGCATTTCCGATCACCACCTGAAATTTCAGTCGGTTGTACCCCAAGAATTGGCATCAGAGGTCTGAAAAGCCACACTGAAGCTAATAAGATAGTCTAATGTGTCTATTCTTGCCAAGGGGGGTGAAGAAGTGGAGTCCAGGAGGAGGAGTTCTGAGACCAAATCCCATGAAATTGATCATTTGATACCCGGAAAGGAAGTTGTGGATATTATGGTGTCTATGTCACATTAAATCCATATTGTGGGACTATTGCACCTCACCCATGTCCCTGTTTTAATTTCATGGCAAACAGATAAGAATTGGGCAAACGGGGATGTTTTTCCAAAATTGTGTCATTGGAATGAACTTCAATTTCCTTTTTGGGACAAAAGCACAAAACAACCTGTGTATGCTCCTGTTGATGGCCTCTTGACCATGGGCATCCACTGTTCATTGATAGGACTCTGCTACAGCCACCACCCCATTTCCTCTTGCCCCTAAAATGTGTTCATATGATGTCATCATAGACTACTACAAGCACATAACTGCAAGGGCAAGGCTCACAACTAGCCAGTAGCACATGTCGGAACTGATATACAGTAGTCCAAGGCATAACACATCCGAGCAGGCCCCTCAAAATAACAATGATGCTCAAAATATCAATTCAAGTAGCTGGTAACTGCAAGACAAACACTCTATTCAATTTCTGTGGCAAGTGCCCAAAGAGCGCCCACCATTTGAAATATTCAGAAAGCCGGATGAATTGTTAATAAGAGCACCAGGGTGTAATCGGAAAGCACCATTTCTATAGTAAAGTAAGAATGGATTGCAGATGCCTGGGGTCTGTGCCAAGGGAATCGGGATTTGAAAAACGGATATGGGGTTGAAAAGTTTTTTTTGGCCCCAAGCTGACCCTCCTCCTTCCTAATAGGGAAGGAGTTTCCCACCCCTACCAGCAGGCCGGTTCTCCGTGGGGAGCCGCCGCCTATTTCTCAGGCTTATACATGCTCAGTGGTACATTCTCATAGTGAACTGAGCTATTTGAACTTGTCAGTTGAAAAAAAAAAACCAGCCTGTGAGCTAGCCACACTTGGCTCAAACTAGGCTTGGAGCCCGGAACTCCAGGGTTCAGAGCCCAAACATTAGTAATACCCTTTCTAGACACTGGGGTGAGTCTCTTACAACCTAGTAGCACCCCTTAGGATGCTCTATTCCCCATTTTAAACCTCTGGACAATATATACTATTTTTTTTTCCAGGCCTCCCTGGACCCCCCCTCCCCATGTACGGAATTTGAATCCCGATTCCCCTTGGTCTGTGCTTCAATTCTTCGACTTTAGCGGCGCGCTATCAAATCTGTCAGTGAGTCACTGGCTCTTTACCTCCGAGACCAGAAAATTAAAATCCAACATTGATCTCTGCAGAAGAGGCACAATCAATTCGGAGGATAGAGGAAATTAAGAACCTGGTTCATTCTGTGCGGTGTGTGCAGACGATACCTTGGCCGAAACTGTTTGAATTGATGCCATCAATTCACTCTTGACAGGAACTTCTACGAGCTCTAGCAGACAACTGTCGTGGGCTCGTGTAGGCTCGTTGAGAAGCCAGACGAAATCACATCTCACTTCTTGGCTGGAAATACGGGCGTGTTCAGACGGCGTTGCACGGTATGGTCACAGTCAAAAAATGGGCCGCGAGGTCTTATTATCTTTTAGCGCGCAGATTGCCTGCCCTACACACATAGCTGCCATGCGACACATTCAGGCCAATTCTAAAGCAGCCCACGATGCAGAACCACTCTCTGAAGTCTTGCCGTCGTCATCCAAAGGCCCCATCTACACCCTTCCCTACGAGCTGTTAGCGTATATCATGGTTCTGTCGCTGACACCACGCATCAACTCGCACGGGCACGAAATCAAGGCCACCAGCTTGGACGTAGTGAACCTGTGCCGTGTCTGCTGCCTTTGGACAGACGTCGCTGCTGATACCCGGAAGCTATGGGTCGTCGCCCCTTTCCCCTTGGTTGAGGTAGACTATGATCATTGCAAGCGGACAAAGTTATTTCTGGAATTGTCCGACCCGCTACCCATCTCCGTTTGCATTCCTCCACTAAAGCCTTGGAGTGGATTCAAGTTGGTGCCTCTTGGTATACCTCCAATCGTCGCCGATACGGTTCTCAGATGGAAGACTTTGGAAATCGATTACCCAGATAGCTACGAATTCCATGCCAGCATATTGGCGGGAATCCCCCCAGACGGCCTGGAGAACCTCGAAATTTTGGTTTTGAGGTGGCGCGAACCTGAAATCTGGCAGGGGCCAAAACTGAACATTTTCCGGTCCGTGCCTCGGCTACGGGACGTCACTATTCAAGGATCCCATATTCCTCCCATGCCCTGGTCTCAGCTCACCCGTCTCTCCTTGACTCATGATTCACCCCAATTGTGCATTGACGCCCTCGTTCGCTGCAAAAGCATTGTTTCAGCCTCTATCACCACCAAAGAGTGGTCAGATGATCCTGATTCCAGTAATATGGAATCAGATTCTCTGTCCTACCTGGAAGAGCTGGAGATTCAGGTGTGGATCCGGTCGCACGGCGAACATTTAGGTCCCTTCTTGCAACAACTCGGGTTTCCCGCCCTGAAATCACTCACCTGCTCTCTTGGTTATTATGACGGGTTCTATGACGAAGTCTCGTCGCTCACCCCGGCATTGTTATCCCTTTCGACTCGATCTCCGAATCTTGCATATCTCAAGATTGATACCAACTGTGACGGTTGTGTCTGTCCGTCAGATGTAGCAGAAATTCTAGCGCACATCCCGAACCTCACCAAGCTCCATTTTAGCAACTGGGAAGTCGACGAAGAAGACGAAGAAGACTTCTTTGGAGCTCTGCGCTACTCCGACACAGATGCCGTGCCACTGGTCCCAAAACTCGAGACATTGGTGCTCGCGCATATGGTGATGCGTTTCGGCCAACGCTTGGTCGAGATGATCAAGTCTCGCTGGTGGTCCGACGAGCTGCTTGCAATGCCCACGGCGCCACGTATTGCGCGCTTGAAGTGCTTAAAACTTAGCGGTTCTAGCACACCAGGTAATGTTCTGGGACTGATGGACACCCCGGAGTTGGCGGAAACGATGGCAGTGTACCGCTCACAAGGGCTTGTTATCCTCTAACTCAGACTGGATGAGGGGTGCTAGATGTGAATTCGTAGAGTCGAGAAAAAAATACTGGTCTCGATTCTTCTACACCAGTATTATGATGCACCTACATATGCAATCGAATGGCACAAGAGCTTCTCCCCAAGTCCCTGTTGAATAATTTCACATTAGTATACGAGGAACGTCCTGCTTGGGTTGGTCAACTTTGGCACAGCTGTTGTGTTGTATCTTTGTGGATCAACCATCACGACGTTAAGCCGGTCAATTGCGAGCAAAGTTATACTCGAGACCGTCCCGCGACGCAATTAATCTTCAGACTCGCGTAATCGCCTCTGAGCTGTGCGACGCAATTTCTTTTATGAACCGTTTCAGGCGTTGCTCGCCATAGGCATCCCGGATTTTTCTCAACGCAACGTGATTGCGCTTCGGTAAATTTGACACACACTGTGCCCGTCCACCATGACGAACGACAAACCCGTCCTGTTCGGGTTCACCCGTGCGGACCCGTACCTCGACTATGCAATACTTCAAGAGCTGCTCTGGCCAACAGTACCTTCAAGCCAGTCAGCAGACTCAGCCGCGCCTGAGCCTTAGTGCTTGGCCCGGCACATCGAAGCCTGCGCAGTAGACTTGAGCCTCTGGACGGACGACCAGGGCCGCGACGCGACTGTCATGGACGTGGACGAGTCGGAGGAGCCTCCGCCAGCGCCATCGATTCGCTACATCAATCTCGTCGAGCATGAGCGCTTATCCATCCACCGGCTCTCGGCCTTGGAGACGCTCATTGTCCGCCAAGAATACGTCGACTTCATGGATCATGTCATGCAGGGAAGGAAAATCCGTTGCTTCCTCACCGGTCAGCCTGGGATCGGTACGTAGTCGTTTTCCCTCTGCTTTGGCCTTCGCGCTCATGCATTGCGTTGGGTAGGTAAGAGCATCGGGGCATGCTATTTCCTATTCCGTTTGCTCGCTTCCGGCCAGTCAGTTTTCTTCATCCCAGACGAGGTCAGCGTTTTCTACTTTTCTGAAGCCGGCGTCGACGTCGTGAATGCGGGCGACCCCATATGGGGCCACGTAGACGTCAAACGTGCTCTTCGCCGCAGCTGGGTCCTGATCGACGTTGAGGTTGGTTCCCAAGAGTGGTTCCCCGGCACCTGGGTTGAAAGGGCTCATTGTTTGGTATGGACGTCGTCGCCGAGGGCAACACGCATGCACCATTTCAACAAGCAGTTCAAGGCCGCCGCCTGGTACATGAAGCCGTGGTCGTTGGAAGAAATTGCAGCTGTAATGTACGCATCGTCTTTGACACCGTTCTTCGCAAACCCATCCATGCTGACCTTGTCAAATCAAGGACACTGGAGAAGAGAGACCTCAAAGACATTCGGGCCAGGCTTGCCATGAGCGGACCGGTCCCACGGAGCCTCTTTGGCGACCCCCAGATGGCCACCTCTATTGACCAGGTCGTCAACAAGGCTCTCGCCCACGACTTATTCGACTTCGCAACCTCGGACCCTAGTCATGAGATGTTCCTCATTCAGCCCAAGGAAGTGTTGGACGAGGCCGAACGGCCTTCCCTCCAGCGGAACGCGTGCTCTTTTGACTTCCTCTGTAACTACATCGCCAGCCGCACCGCGGAGCTG